ACCATAAGATACTGTTTCTTTCACAAATAAAACAGAAACAAGTGTCTAGAATCAACCTAGAAGGAGAGATAATTACCATATTAACAAGGTTTAAAAAGAAAGACACCTTGAAACAGGTTCAAGAATAGCATTATCTTTTCCTTCAAACTTAATTACTTCTCTTGGATGTCAAACAATCACATATCATAAAAGCTGAAATTGCTGCTAAGGTAGAAAAATAAATAATAAGATGACACAGAACAAGGAGACAATAGACTGAAAAAGTGACAAAACAAAAGAGGCTAAAGGAGATTAAACTTGGAAACTTGGCTCCCCTTAATTTAACTTGCTGTATACTTTGAACTTGTAAATCAGAGTTGTAAAAAAATAATGAGAGGTTGTAGTTTAATGTAAAAAAAAAGTCTATGGAAGCAAAAGGAAAAGAAATCAGTTGACAAAAACAAGCAAACAGAAATTATTTGTCTTTTGCATACATAAGCCCCGTAACATGGAGATCTCATCCCATGCAAACTGGGGTACCCCCCTCCTTGTTCTTGTCCCATCAACATGGAGATCTTTAACAAGTGTTAGAGAAGCAGCAGGAAAAACCTAAAAGGATATATGAAGAAAATATTAGAAGGATAAATGAATAAAAGCAGGTTTAGAACATGGGAATGAGAATGATAGAGAGATAAATCAGAAAATATTTCCTTACTTTCCTTAGTAATATGTGTCTAACCTGATTTTCATTTTCATCTGTTTCTTGAAGGACTTTAGCCCTCCTATGGATGCTGACCTTGTGTGTGGTAATCCTTTGCAATCAATAAAAGTATTAAAAGGTTTTCTGTGTCAGAAGAAACTTTTATCAGGTCTTCTTTAGCATCCTGGAGACTTGCTCAACTGCCAGGGAACCTGCAGAGATGATATGAAAAGCTCCAGAGATATTTTCTTCACCTGCAATTTTACTTTCCTTTTCCTAATAAACATTATAAGTGAATATATACCACAATCCATAGTTTCCAATAATTTATAGTCCAATTAGCCTAGTATATCCAAAAATTGGTTCTGCATTAAGAATAAGGTGCAATCAGAATAGAAACTGTGAGATGGAACAATATTTTAAATTATTGGTTCAAATTATTTTTTTTTTCTTTGTGGTTTGTTTTCTTTATGTTGAGCAGATATTTTTATTCCTAAATGGAGAGGTTCTAAACTGGAAAAAGCTGAACCAATGCCAATACTCACAAAAACCTCTATTAGCTCTTAGCTATCATCAAGGCAAGTCAGAACTAGGTGAAAGAGCCTTAGATATAGAGGGCAAGAAATATAAATATCTGCTTAGATGGATTTACCTTAATAGTGAGGCTATTAATACTAGTGCATCTAGATATTGAAGTGAAACTAAAATCTCAAAATACAGGTAAACTATGTCATTGCCATATTTTGATCCATTTCTAACAACTCCAGCAAAGAGAGATATAACAAAATTCCATATGAAGATAGGTTTTGGTCTATGCTGGACAAACCCAGGAATAACATGAGGCTGATCAAATGCAGGCACTGCCTGAGCAGCCTCCCAGACCCTGCACCTGATGAACAGAGAAGAGAGCAGAGCAGCAAAGGTCTATGAGGCTTCTTGCCAAGCAAGGGAGTAAATCTCCTGAGTAGTGACAGCTGGCTGCAGCCTTATTTAAGAAGCAACTCTGACCCATGCTCCCTTTGCTGGAAACAACATCTGACCTCCAGCTCTTGCATAATGTACCTGCAAATCCCATTCAGGTTGAAACCCTGAACCTTTGACCTCTGTACTGGCTGACAACTCTGACCTGGCTCTCAAAACCCTGGATTTGGTTTTGGACTACTGTTCTATGCACTCCTGTTTAAAAAGCAAACTCATCAGGCAAGCCTCAGTTTTGTGTACATTCCTTTGTTCGCTGTTATCTCTTCAACCTTGGACTAAAATTGCTAAACTCCATAGCAACTGTGCATGAGTGTGCGTGATTGAAACATGAAGCAGGACAACAAGCTATTTTGGAATTTTGGGAATTTTCATGTGAAGCAGAATCCATGATTGGATTACTAAGCAAAAGCAAACTACAATGTTTCCTTTCTTCTCTGGAAAAGAAAAGGACTGACTGGGGTATGTAT